CAGGCTGACTTTTTGGGGTGATGCACGCTGCCAGGCTGCTCCCCCTGGTGTGGGGCGGGAGGTGGTGGGGGGAGGATCCCACCCCGCGTGCGTCGGTGCTGGGTGGGGGTGCCGGCGCTCCCCCTGACGCCGTGCCCCATCTCTCCCCAAGCATTTCTACCAGAACAGGGCGCAGCCTCCCACCAGCGCCTCCCGTGTGCAGAGTAACACGACGGCCCGGCCCGGCCCCCCTGCCCATGTGTATCCGGCTGCTTCCCAGGTGATGATGATACCCTCCCAGATATCCTACACACCTTCCCAAGGAGCCTATTACATTCCCGGACAGGTGAGGGCAGTGCCCTGGGCTCTGTGGGAGGGGACTGGGGTTGGGCACTGGTGGGGGGTATTGCCCGGGATTGGAGCCCAGTTTGGGAGGGTGGAAGGGATCCCCCAGGCTCTCTGAGCACTCACTGATTGGAGCGGGGTGTTGCCCAGCTCTGTAGAGGCAGCAAGCAGTGCTGGTCACCCTCCCCAGCAGCCCCCCGAGGTGCCTGGTGCCCAGTTTACGCCTGTGTCCTGCTCTCTGCCCTGGTGCCCAGCTGTTTCACAGGCAGGTTTGGGGGTACTTCAGTGGTTTGGGGGTGTTTCTGTGCCCCACATGGGAGGTAACTGACCTTTCTTCTTCTCCCCCGTTGCAGGGTCGCTCCACGTACGTTGTCCCGACCCAACAGTACCCGGTCCAGCCCGGTGCCCCTAGTTTTTACCCTGGAGCCAGCCCCACAGAATTCGGGACTTACGGTACGGACAAGGGCGTTGCTTTGCTCCCTAGTGCTCTTTCAGCCCCAGTGCTCCCCCGTCTGTTTCGTCCCCTGTCTCTGGCCTCCCAGCACTCAGGCGCTGAGCACAGACCCCCTGCCTTTGCCAGGTCACTAGGGCTGTCTCTGTGACTCCGTTACAGGCTGTTTTGGGGTGCAGGGGGTGTTGCCTGTCTCTCAGCAGCATGGGGGGCTGGGCATCGCGTCCCACTGGTCCATCCAGCCCCGCCCTTTTCCAAATTGGGGCCGTTTAATGTTTAACTCTCCTGGCGGAAGGCCGGGGCAGACTTTATCCCTGCCGTCAAGGTGGTGAGCAGTTTTGTGCTTGCTGACATCCATCCCCCCTCGGCTTCCCCGCTCCCCAAGGAGCAGAGCCAGGGGTGCCAGGGCCGCTCCGTGCCTGCCCTCTCCCGGCGCTGGGGAGCGGCGGTGTGAGCAGCCCCCCCTTCTTCCCCCGTGCTTGCATGTGGCCACCCTGGCTGTGACTATATTTAGGCTTGGTCGGTCCCAGGAGGCCCAGCAGACACAGAAATGTGAGCTGAGGCCTCTGGCCCGGCCCCGGCACAGCAGCAAAGCGTAACCGGGGCAGAGATGGGCTTCTCCTGAGCCAGGTACGTGCCCGTCCTCCCTCCCTCTTATCCCGGGGCCCAGCTGGCCCCTTCGAGGAGGAAGGTGGCCCCCGATAGTGGCCAGATCCTGCACTTGGGCCAGGACATGGCCGCTCTTTTGTGCCCTGTGCTGGGGCATCCCCTGGGTGTCTCTCTGGAGTCCTGGGATTCGTTTGCCCCCCGCCTTTGCTTTGGGTCTGTGGCTGTTCCCAGGGGAACTGGCAGCAGCGTGCCCCTTGCCTGCAAGACTAGGTGGGTGGTCTGGCGTGGCGTGCCCCTTGATGGGTGAGATGGGCCAGCCCTCCTGGTCCCCGGGGCTCTGCAGCTTGGTGTCTCCCTCCTTCCCCCTGTGCCTGGCCCGTTCTGGGGTCCGAGGCCCATCCAGTACGCCTGCATCCCCCCTGGGCAGAGTGGAGGGGTCCCTGGCTTGGGGATGGGACAGTCACCAGAGCACATGGGGCAAGTTCCAGGCTTAGTGCAGGTGGGAAGGAGCTGGAACCGGAGTGGGCAGGGGCCCAGCTGTGCCTGTTCCTCGCCTCCCCATGCCCGTACCCCTGTGGCACTGCTCCGGGGGCGATGCTCGGGGATGCCCTGGGAGGAGCAGAATGCCTCTTGGGGGCTGTGCCAGCCCTGGATGGGGTCCAGCTCTGCCTCCGGCCCCCGGCACGGTTCCCTCCTCTGCGCTGAGCTTGCCGGGGGCTCGGGCTGCGCGGGGAGCCCCAACCCCTCAGCCTGGGTGTGAATGGAGGGTGCGGACGGGGCTGCGTGGTGCCGCCCTTGGGCTGGTGCCGGCCCCGGGGAGATAAGG